AAAGTGGGGATCGGGCGCAGGGTCCCGGCAATGATGTTTTTAAAGGCTATGAATGGGCGATACATCCTCGATTGCTGTGTTCGGCGGGGGAATCAATTGAAGCCCCCCGCCTGCACCCGCGCGCGAGACTTGAGGGGGAAGGAAGCAAGGGGGCGGGGGCTCGGGAATGGCGACGAAGGCAACGCGCGCTCGGGGGCTCGGGGCTCGGGATCGTGCGTCCTGATCAGACGGGTTGACTGCATCTCCACTCTGTCGTGATCATGCGGGTTGAGTGCCTCTCCGTTCTGTCGGCGAGGTGTCGCCGATTCCAGGGCAAGCCGCGCCTTGAGCTTGGGGGCCACCCCGGCGTCGTTTGGCAGCTCGTCGAAGAAGGCGTCGCTTGAGGATGCGGGAGGGTGCGTCCTCACACCTTCACCGGGAGGGGCTGCCTCCGGATCCGTCGTGACGGCGGCGACGACGACGGCGACGGCGACGACGACGGCGACGGCGACGACGGCGACGATGACGCCGAGGAGGACGACGACGACAGGGAGGACGACGACGACGAGGACGACGACGACGACGACGACGACGACGACGACGGCGCGGAGGACGATGCGACGCCGAGGGCGACGACGACGACGAGGACGACGACGACGGCAACGACGACGACGACGACGATGGCGACGTTGTGTTGCCAACAAAGTCGCGACGACTGGTTTTTGTCGGTTTCGGCCTCCCGGGAGCCGTCTCCTGGCCAAGTTGGCTGTCAACAGAAGGGCAGGGCAGGACGAAGAGCCGGCCGTGGGGGAGTGTCGGGGTTCCCAGGGGCTGGCGTCACGCAAACATTGCAACGTCGGGAGGTGAGGGGAGGATGACTGGGTGGGGGAGGAGGAGGAGGGGAATGAGGAGGATGAAGAGGATGAGGATGAGGAGGAGGAGGAGGGGGAGGAGGAATATGACAAATTAGGAGAAGGCACAAGACGATGTCGTAGAAAGAAAGGCAACACCCACTGATCACCACTGGGACCGATATGACCAGTCAGAACAGCGCCCCGAGGTAGTAGTGAGCCTCAGACCCCTCAACAATATTGCACATGCTCAGGTCCCTTGGAAGGCCTGCAGGACAAATTCCATCACCAATATTGCTGCTCAGGTTCGTGAAAGGAGGAGACCGCCCATGTAAAATGAATCCATGCACTGTCCATGCGAACGCCAGCTAAAAAATGGAAGAAATTCGAAACCGTCGATGCTGAGCGATCCCGCCAAAGACCTTCACCGGGCACTTGGGGCCCGTACAGATAGCAGCAAACGCAGTCCACCCTCCGAACACATGACGTTTGGTGCACCCATGCAACACAATTCTTGAACGCAGCTGCCGTACCCTCTCCAGACGGATGTGGGAGACGGGAGCACTGACACTGATGATGCTTGTCCCCAGTATGACTGGGCTTGGAAATCAACAAAGGGGTGCCATTGGCCGATCACAGGCATATAGGAACCCCCTTACCACTGCAGGCGATACACATATATATATATACATATGTACAGACATGTATATACATACATCTGCGTTAACATGTATGAAGTACCAAACTGCCGAGGCCGCGCTTCACGTTCAAAACCGAGCGTGCTGACAACCCCGCATGGCTTGGGGACGTATACGAGATGTTCAGGAAGGGCTCCTCCAGGCGCCAAAATAATGCCCATACGCTGCGATGAAGGCACATCAACACCGCTTGCAAGTCTCCGTGCGTGAAATGGTCCAGATGAAGACTTGCGGGCCACATATGCAAGACCAAATAGCATGACTACAATATTGTGAATGGAAGTAGCCGCTAACCCCAGGCGGTGAGCCACGAGGGAAATCCCCTGGCTCACCCGCCGCCTGGGAGGGCAACGCCACCCACCAGTACCAGTTTAAAGAGTACCCGTTCATGTTGATATGGCCAGAATGCAGAACCTTCTACAGTTAATTCGGCTTCGCTCGTCTTTGCCTCCAGGATCTGCTTCGCAATCCAAGGCGAGGACGGCTCGATGCCACTCCTGCGCCGACGTAGAGGCGCAGAGCGAGACGGCACATGGTGCACTCGAGCCCAGGCAGGTACGGGAGCCTTGGGCCACCTACCTCTGCTTGAGAGGAGGAGGCGGAGGAGGAGGCGAAGGAGGAGGCGGAGGAGGGGGAGGAGGAGGGGGAGGAGGCGGAGGGGGCGGAGGAGGCGGAGGCGGAGGAGAACCAGGGCAATGCCAAGAAGCATCCACGATGCTGCAATCAGCAATCCCGACGATGACTTATGCATGGCCTATGATAGGTCCCCTTGGGATCTGTGCACAGGCTATGTATAGGTCTGTCACAGGCCTATGCATAGGACGTGCGCAAGCCTATCGTAGGCCTGTGCGTAGGCTGTATACAGGCCTGTGGAAGCCTCCGTCGTAGGGCCTATCCACAGATTGTGCACAGGGCTAGCATATGCCTGTGCACAGTCTGTCCACAGGTTTGTGACAGGCCTATGCACAGCCTGCCCATAGGTCTATCGATAGGCGTATCGACAGGCCGATGCACAGGCTACCCATAGGGCTATTGCTAGGCCTATCGATCGGCTGCCTCGGGGCATGTGTGTGCTCACGAAACACAGGCCTGTGCACAGCCTGTGCATAGGCCTGTGCTTCGGCCTGTGCGCACCCTATGCATAGGCCTGTGACAGGCCTGTGAACAGGCTGTGCATAGGCCTGTGATGCGCCTGGGAGAGAACCGACACTCTGGGACAGGCCTGTGTATAGCCTGTGCACAGGCCTGCCACAGGTCTGTGCACAGGCCTACCACAGGCCTGTGGACAGCCTGTGCACAAGCCTGTTGTGGGTCTGGGAGAGGGCCAACGCCTCGCGGCAGTCCTGTGCACAGCCTGTGCACAGGCCTACCACAGGCCTGTGGACAGGCCAATGGTGGGCTTGTGTGAGGGCCGACACATCGCGACAGGCCTGTGCATAACCTGTGCACAGGCCTGTTCCAGGCCTGTGAACACGCTGTTCACAGGCCTGGTGTGGGCCTGGAAGAGGGGCGACACCCCGCGACACGCCTGTGCATAGCGTGTGCGCAGGTCTGTCACACACTTGTGGACAAGCTGTCGACACCCCGCGACAGGCCTGTGCATAGCCTCTGCACAGGCCTGCCTGTTGACAGGCTGTGCGCAGGCCTGCGGTGGGCCTGGGAAAGGGCCGACACCCCGCGACAGGCCTGTGCACAGCCTGTGCACAGGCCTACCACATGCCTGTGGACAGCCTGTGCACAAGCCTGTTGTGGGTCTGGGAGAGGGCCAACGCCCCTCTACAGGCCCGTGCATAGCCCTGTACACAGGCGTGTCACAGGCCTGTCCACAGACTGTGTACAGGCCTGTGGTGGGCCTAGGATAGGACCAACGCCCCGCGACAAGCCTGTGCACAGCCCGTGCACAGGTCTACCACAGGTCTGTGGACAGCCTGTGTACAGGCCTGTGGTGGGCCTGGGAGAGGGCCAACGCCCCGCGACAGGCCTGTGCATAGCCTGTGCACAGGCCTGTGCACAGGCTGTACACAGGCCTGCGGTGGGCCTGCGAGAGGGCCGACACTGTGGACAGCCTGTGCACAGGCCTGTGGTGAGCCTGGAAGAGGGCCAACGCCCTGCGACAGGCCTGTGCATATCCTGTGCACAGGCCAGTCACAGGCCTGTCGACATGCTTGTGGTGGACCTTTGGTGAAGAACACCCAACGACAGGCATGTGCATAGCTTGTGCACAGGCCTGTCACAGGCCTGTGGACAGCCTGTGCACAGGCCTGTGGTGGGCCAATGAGAGGGCCAAAGGCCCGCGACAGGCCTGTGCATAGCCTGTGCACAGGCCTGTCACCGGCCTGTCGACAGGCTTGTGGTGGGCCTGTGGTTGGCCCATGAGACGGCCGGCGCCCCGCGACGAGCCTGTGCACATGCTATGCACAGGCTTGCCACAGTCCTGTGGACAAGCTGTGCACAGGTCTCTCTCTCTTGGCCCTCTTCCTCTTCCTCCTACTCTACTTCCTCCCTCCTCTTCCCCGCGCAAGCATTCTGGGGTGTCTCTTCGGGCTCGTTCTTGGAATATTCCCTCGCTGCCCAGTGGATCACCCAAAAATATGCCCTGTTTTAAGATAGCCAGTCGGGCCTGTTCACAGGAGACCTCGTCCTCCACTTCCTCCGCTTTCTGCTCCTCCGTCCCCTCGTCTTCCTCCTCCTCCTCCTCCTCCTCCTCCTCCTCCTCCTCCTCCTCCTCCTCCTCCTCCTCCTCCTCCCCCTCCTCTTCCTCTTCCTCTCTCTTTCTCTCCTCCTCCTCCCCGTCCTGCTCTTCCGCCTCCTCTTCCTCCTCCTCCTCCTCCTCCTCCTCCTCCTGCACCGCCACCTCAGCCTCCTCCGCTCTTTCTCCCCCCTCCCTTTCCTCCTCCTCCTCCTGGACTTCCTCCTCCTCCTGTTCCTCCTCCTTGCGGTGCGCCGAGATGACCGACCTGGCCCGACCGACTCGCCCGTTGGAGCGCACGCGTGCCAGTTCGATGATTCGTTTGGGTGCACGCGTGCTGCTAAACCCAATGATTCATCATGCGTTACACTTCCGACCCGACCCGACTCGCCCGTCATGGTCCGCCCGTTAAGGCCCCCCAGGGGGTCACCCTAAATTCTGCCCCGTTTTGGGGTGACTCTTTGGGATCTCATTGGCAAGGCCCTCGCGCTGTCCAGAGGGTGACCCTAAAATCAGGCCCGTTTAAGGCCTACCCTTTGGACCCTTTCGGTGAAGGTCACGCGCTGTCCGAAGAGTCACCCTAACATCCGATTCGCCGCTTTACAAGTATAATGTGGCCCTGTGGGCACGCTGCGGGAAAGCTCCTTCCTTCTCCACCTCCTCCTCCTCCTCCTCCTCCTCTTCCTCCTCCTCCTCCTCCTCCTCCACATCCTTGTCCTCCACCACCCCCTCCTCCTCCACCTCCTCCTCTCTTTCTCCTCCCCGTGCTGACGGCCATGCCGT